AAAAATATCTAGAACATTCGTATCTTTTATGATAATTTCACATTGATATGCTTTAAATTTCATTTTATTTGACTCCTATATATCTAATATTGCTTAATTGAATTTTTTCTCTTTTTAAAGTGGTCCACTTAGGATTTTCCATTTATCTCTGACGTCAAATGTATTATGAGTATGAGGAAAAGTATTATTACCACGTGCTTCAAAATTTGCAAGGTTTTTTTTCTAATATATTCTCTACATAATGATTGATGTTTTTTTTTTAATTACATGTCTCATAAACAAAATTCCGAAGTTTTTATGATCCTATTATTTTTATTAGGCTCGAGGCTAGTGGGTTGTTGGGAAAATGCATTCATTTATATTCTATCAATTATATCCATGTACTTAAATTTTTTTTTTTTTAAATTAACGAGTGGAATGTGTTCATGATGTATGCATCCAATGTTGTTCAAGTAACCTTTAACTTTAATTTTTTTAATAAGCATTTATCAGTGTCTTTTTCAGCTTTTATCAATATAGCATTTTCATTTTTTTTTCTGACGCCAATTGATGAATCAGGAGGAATAGTTTTGGAAATACATAATTGAAACTTTACATGCTTATTTATAATGACATTCTCTACTTAATGATGGATGGTTTTTAAACAAATATCTCAAAGGAAAATTTTTCCGAATTTTTTTATTTATATATTTTTTTTAAAATTAGGTTCGTGTGTTAATTTTTTTTTCTATCTTTTCTGTCTTAGTTTTCTAATTGTTTTTTTAATACATGAATGGTACATGTACATGGTTTATGCATCCTATATCGTTCATGCAGACCTCTAATTTAAAAAAACACAATTTTATACTTTTTTTCATTTTTCTCAATTTTGCATTTTCCGGATTTTTTAGGAACGCCAAATGAATTGGGAGGAAAAGTATTCTAGCTACAGCCTTCAAACATTGCATGCTTCTTTTCATTGATATTCTTTACAAGATTCAAGAGGCTTTTTTTTTTTATTTACCGGGTATATCCAACTAAAACAGTTTTATAACATTTTTACATTTGCTACTCCTGAAGTGCCTGAAGAGTTCTCGAATGTTTATGTGACCCCCACATACATGCCATTTGTAACATTTCCAATAACTGCTGTGTAATAAGCTTATTTAAACTTTATGTCAATGTTATTCTTAATGTGTATGCCAAGTTTTTCATTTACAATACAGTACAATAAGTTACAATATAATGCAATACAAATTTGTCTTTATTCATTTTGAGTAAAAGTCAAAATTGGTATAAAATGTTTACATTTTTTGCAATAAAAGTCACAACAAATTTTTAAAAAATAAACTTTAGTGGATTTTTGTCTTTCTGTTTGTGTATGGTTTGTATGTACTATATTTTTTTCTTGGCTCTATTTATTTAGGGTTATCAGTATTTTATTTTCAATGTGGCATGACTTAGTTGCCTTGAAACCAAACTCCCTTCACAGATCACATATATTTGCTCCCACTCAAAAATTACATCTGTACTTAAATGAAGAAATGATACAAACAATAGTTAACTGTACGGGTACCAACAAGGAATGTGAGAAAGTAAAAGGAGACAAATGGCAAAGGAATGATGTGACCTAATTGAATGAGTTTATTGGCTGCCTACTCCTTACTGGCCCCTAATTTATTTTATGGATTACTTGAGTACACAACTCAAATAACTAACAACCAAACAAAAATGTTCTCAAGTCAAAAAGGTTTTGTTTTTCTATTAAATTTTAAATTATGTACCAGTGTGTTAGACCCAGTCGACAGCTATGGTAAAAAAAAAAAAAGACCAGTCCTCCAAAATAAGTCTCTTTCTCATGCTTTTAACTTTAAGATGTTCATTGCAACTACCTTGTGAATTAGGTCAAGTCAAATAGAAAAGTTGTTGAAAGGAGATTCGAGATATCAGGAAAAACAGTCAGTGTCTGCATGTATGACTCCCAGTGCCGAGGAAAAAGTTTAAAATTGGTGGTTTTATTCTGACTAAGCCAAGCTCTCTAGAGGAATAGTTGAAATTAATTCATTATGAATGAAATTTTCATTACGTATTTAGAATACCTAATTAATTTATAAAGTAGCCTACTGTGTGATTAAATCTTTTAACTTAAACAATACACATAAATAATCTTAAATAAAGGATTTAATTTTAATAATTAAATTTAAACTATTACTTTTCTAAAATTCAAATGAAAACAATAAATGTATCTAAATCATCTTCATTACTAGATTAAAAAAAAAAAAATGATCTACGAAAATGGCTTAAACTAAAAAATAAAATAAGAAAGAAAAAAAAATCTACCCGTCCTAAGAAAAATTAATAAAGCAAAAATAAAAAAAAAACAACTAAAAAGAATAAAACTATGAATCTATGAAATAACAAGGAGAAAAAACAATTTAAAAAAATAATTCTCATACTATTATTAGTATTATTGTTATCACACCCGGCTCCGAAGCCATTTAATCTGAACGGAGCCACTCCGGGTGCGAATAGTCATTGACAACTATAGAGACCCGGGTACCAAAAGATGCAGCCATAGCATTGTTGCAGATGATAAGAGTTGTGTGGTTTTTTTTTTAGTATTATACAACAGCATTTCATTCCTTTTAAAAAAAAATTGAAACGTACTACTGGTCATTTGAAGATGAGTTCTAACATGCTTATAAATCAACAACAGTGGACATAGACTGGCAGATGATGTAAAAAAACTTTAATTTGTTTTGTTTTTTCCCTCTCAAGTAATATCTCCAAGAGCTAGGTAACCATCCATGTTTAGAAATCGGTCCAACATTTCAGACACTTATGGTAATAAAATATTTTGTAAGGCAATGAATAAACAAATAATAGCAATATATAGCCTAACATAATGGACAAATCTTATTCAAGATGAAATAGCGCGATGGCGTGATTCGAAAATCAGTAACTGATGGGAGTTTGAAATTTAAGTGTAGAATTGTCAGGGCTTTTTTCAGCCCACAGATAAAATAATGTAATTTTTACATTATTTTTTTTCCATTATTTTTCTTCCAATGCTAATGATTATAAATCCATCAAATGAAGCAGCCAAACGGAAGTGGACATAGTCTAGACCAGTGGCCGGCAAACTCATTAGTCAAAAGAGCCAAAAATCAGCAGCAAGACGATTTAAACAAAATTGAGAACCACATTTCTTTTCAAGAACCTGTCAATCAGGCCTACCATGTTTTTTCGGAGTCAAAACCGATTTGTGGTCGACTGGCCGAGCCGCACTCAGGTCTCTAAAGAGCCGCACACGGCTCGCGAGCCGCGATTTGCCGACCACTGGTATAGACTGTTGTAATTTTTATGAAGTTTTTTTTATTTACTTTTTTTTTTTGCGTTGAAATTTCCTTAGTAGCCAAGCAAGATGGAAATTATTACAAAATCATTATTTTACACATAGTATTAAAAAAAAAAAAAAAAAGTTTTCTTTTCCAAAATCAAATTTCAATGAAGTTTATTTTTCTTAGGTCTTTTTCAAAAAAAAAAAAAAAAGTTTTCTTTTCCAAAATCAAATTTCACTTGATTTTATTTTTTAAAGGTTCATTTCAAAAAAAAAAAAAAAAAAAAGATTGTGCCGCCCCTCTGCACCCCTAGTTGCGACACTGCATGAGGGGCCATTCATAAGTGAAGGAATACAATTTAGTGAGGGACGTGTTCACGAATCTGGCACGATATATCATGTCAGAGTCTAAAACTTGTCATAGATTTTTGATGATTTGGGAGGGCGTAAAAAATCAGCCAAAATAGCATGACGTCAATTTATGGATAACCCGTAAACAGTGTTAACTTCGCATTGAATTGAAAACAACGGCTGATTTCGCTTATATTATCTTCTGTAGTTTTACTGTAGAAACCAATGTCCTGAACTTTGTATTAGTTAGCATCATGTCTCTGTAAAGTTAACGATTCCAACAGTGTACACTGCATTTAAGTGAGCTGCAGCTGTATCAAGAAATAATGTTTCTGATTGATGAAGTAGAGAGAGGCCTGCAGCTGTATCAAGAAATAATGTTTCTGATTGATGAAGTAGAGAGAGCCCTGCAGCTGTATCAAGAAATAATGTTTCTGATTGATGAAGTAGAGAGAGGCCTGCAGCTGTATCAAGAAATAATGTTTCTGATTGATGAAGTAGAGAGAGGCCTGCAGCTGTATCAAGAAATAATGTTTCTGATTGATGGAGTAGAGAGAGGCCTGCAGCTGTATCAAGAAATAATGTTTCTGATTGATGAAGTAGAGAGAGGCCTGCAGCTGTTCTCCGGGCTAAAAAATAATTAACTTTCATGTTTACTCAAATCTTTTGACAATTTTTTTTCAAGAGCATGCGCATTACGGAAGCCATTAAAAAAGTTTTATAATGATAATCAACATAAAAGCCATTGTCTGTGTTTCTCTATTGAGAGCGATCGTTAAAAAAAAAAAATCAATTTTCTTTATGTTAAAATATACAATCCGCTGGGCTTTATTTTTTATGTTATTTTATAGATTTAGACTAAGTTCCATTTCAAGAACAAAATGATCCATTCAGCAGCTAATAACAGAGCAAAGAGATTGGCCTACATTTCCTTGTGTGTGGTGTGTTCATAAATGGACAGGCTGTTGGTATTGCTCTCATTATGGTAGTTCTGTGATGTGCAAAAATGTAGGCGTTACATGTGCATTATATGTGCATTATATGTGCATTACATGTGCATTATATGTGATTTTATGTGCATTATATGTGCATTACATGTGCATTATGTGTGCATTATATGTGCATTACATGTGCATTACATGTGCATTATATGTGCTGAAATGCATTGAATTCTTAATCTGACATGATAGCATTTTATAACTTGTTGAACTTCTCGGAGTTTTTATGGAAAACAAACAAATAAAAACCAATTGTGCATTTCTGTCCATCACGTCTTTTCTTTGACTTACAACTAAAAGAATACCACAGATAAATGAACAATTCCATGAGCAAAGTTTGATGATACTTTTTATTTCCAGATCGTCATCATTATTATTATTAGTATTATATTTGGCTATTTGTCAAAACAAGCGATGCTACTTACAATGAGTAAAAATAAAATACACATATTTCATAACAAGCAAGTTGAATCTTTTTAATATTAGGACATACATTTTGCGCTTTCATCCAGTGACCTATACCTTGACTAAATGCAAACTCTCAAAAGTGACCCCCGCCCCCCCCCACATACACACACACCTTTTCCCCACAAACTCACAGCATTTATATACTGTTATATATAAATCCTATAAGTGCTACCCAAGTGGGGGGGGGGGTCACCCCCTCGCATCCCCTAGGTGCACCATTGCCTACATCATACGGCATCTATCTTTTGCTTTGACACTTTTAAAGTTATCCGGGCGTGTCCCCGCCCACAAGCCGAGGTTCCTGCACTCTGTCACAATGAACTCGTCCACCTCGATCCCATGATGAACATCTACGTCAGTGTTTAGGCTCAGTCTACTAATGTGCACAGGGGCGCTGGATTTGTGTTCAGCTCTCTCAACGTCTTTTTGGATCACGGTACACTCCAGAGGTCCCCCGAGATAGTTTCGAGTTGCAAGCTCGAGGTTGACGATTGGCAAGGCTAAAAATGAATAAGACAAGAGATACATGTACACATGTACAGAATAATGAGTCAAGAGATACATGTACACATGTACAGAATAATGAGACAAGAGATACATGTACACATGTACAGAATAATGAGTCAAGAGATATATGTACACATGTACAGAATAATGAGACAAGAGATACATGTACTGATGTACAGAATAATGAGACAAGAGATACATGTACTGATGTACAGAATAATGAGTCAAGAGATACATGTACTGATGTACAGAATAATGAGACAAGAGATACATGTACTGATGTACAGAATAATGAGACAAGAGATACATGTACTGATGTACAGAATAATGAGTCAAGAGATACATGTACACATGTACAGAATAATGAGACAAGAGATACATGTACTGATGTACAGAATAATGAGACAAGAGATACATATTCAGAATGGAATCAAAACTTTAAAAGATCATTTAAAAAGTATATATAACCCGGTATATACATTTCACCAGTTTAATCATGGTAAGTAACGGGAGGGTTCGAGTACCTCATGTTTACCCCATTCACATTTCCAACTCACAAACTCCAAAAAGATAAATCTCAGGCCTCGAGTCCCGCAGGAACGTATGGGAACGGCATTATTGTACTTTTTTTTTCCTTTTTTTTTTTTTGGTTTAAAAATAAATACACATTCGTTTCAGGGAAAAAGGTGTATACGTGTGTGTGTGGGGGGGGGGGGGGGGGTCTTGGGTGCGTTCCCATGCATTTTTCCCCAGGACTTGACCCCCTGATATATACGAAAAAAAGAACATTTAAAAGAATTAGCTCAGTATGGGCATGTGATTAATTATTTTCAAAGTTGATATGGCTGCAGGTTTGTCTACACATGGCATAACGAAGAATGACGTTCAATCTATTTTTAAAAGCTTTCCTTTCCACTCGAATTATGCATGACAAATGCATCTTTATTTAGCTATACCTCTTTGATTCAAGAGAAACTGGTAGGCTGGAATGACGGACTGTGGATCCAAGAGGTGGAGCTTCACAAAAAGCGCATTCATGTCCCTGTTGTACATCTGCTCAGAGTACTTCCCCTTGACAATCTTCTGGTGAATGGTTCGCGTCCAGGACGACTCGTACACGCTGTTGACCAGCTTCTCTGCCCAAATGTGGCTGCGGAAAAAAAAAAATTTAAACTGGGCATGTCCACGGATAATACCATCTCAAAATATTATTTTAAACAATCTTTTTTTTTTTTTTTTTTTTTTTTTTAATAAAATTTTTTTTTTTTAATTTTTTTTTTTTTTTTTTTTCTTTTTTTTTTTTTTTATTTTTTTTTTTTTTTTTTTTTTTTTTTTTTGCTAACAACAATATTGATTGTTAAATCTTTTTTTTTTTAATCCATAAATTCACTTTTATTTTATTATTATGTATAATAATTATTTATGGATATGGAATGGTGGTGGTATTTACTGAGTTACGCTTAGGCCTACTTCCGCTTAAGGTTAGGGTTAGTTTATACCGGTACTCTGATAGGCCTACTTCCGCTTAAGGCTAGGGTTAGTTTATACCGGTACTCTGATAGGCCTACTTCCGCTTAAGGCTAGGGTTAGTTTATACCGGTACTCTGATTGTTGTATCTATTGTATTATACTCAAGCGGTGTTGTAAATTGTCAGGAATTGTGTTTTAAAATGTATGTTCAGGTTTTAGTGTAGTACCAGTATTGGTGTGAAGTTGTTCTATTCTGATACAGGCATTGGGCCAAGGGTAGTTTTGATTTATATAAAGTTGGTAGGAAAATTTCGTCACGCGTTCAATTTTTTTTTCTTTCAAAATGTGAATGTCCTCAGGGTGTTGGGGAGTGGTGGGTGGTTGGGGGGGGGGGGGTATGTTAATTTTTTTAAATAATTTATCCAGCCACATGAACACTAACCCATCTGACGTCATGAAGTCTCGCAGACTCACGTTGGTCTTAGCGTCCTTTACGACATCCGGATACACCAGAGTGTAGATTTGGAAACCTGGAAAGTAACTCCGTCCCATTACTATTTAATCAGTAGTACATTACTTGTTTTAAGGGGAATTATTGTGTTAATTAAGATATGTGTTGCGTTTCACAAGTATCGTGTTTAGCTTCATAAAAAAAAAATAATAAAACACCAAGAATAAAATGACGACATTATTGTTTACATTTTATTTATTTTCTGTCCCCTCGCTCTCCCTCACCATCTCTTCCTCCATTCTCCCACCTCCATATTTATCTCTCTCTTTTTTTTTTTTTTTTTTTTTGTTTACATTTTATTTATTTTCTGTCCCCTCGCTCTCACACACCATCTCTTCCTCCAATCTCCCACCTCCATATTTATCTCTCTCTTTTTTTTTTTTTTTTACTACTTTACTAGTTCCAATGCGTACAACTATAACCTACGGTTTAACAATTACACTTAACCACGTTGTGTGCATTGTCTTCATATCTTGCTACAGTATTTTAATAGCCCCGTTGATGCTGCATATTATTCAACATATGAAATGTGTTATTAAGTTCAGTGAAGATGCCCCGCCAGTGATACCAATAACAATATACTGTACCCGGTAGCTATCAAGTCAATTGTTAATGGCTAACCTAGCTTTTTCCACTGAAGACTTTCGTAGATTTCCCTGAGTTTATTTCCGACCACCCCCTCGCTAATGGCGCCGTGGAAGTTGTAAGGATCTTTCAGCTTCGTTATCGCCTCGGCCAGGAACAAGGTCGCAAACGTGGCTAGCGGAAATGACCTCAAGTCCACGAGCTTCGCCTCTGGTGCTGCTTCAAAGTCTGAGAAGAAAACGTCGTGAATCCTCGGCTCAGTTTTGACGAGGCTGATAAGTACGTCACGGGAAGCCCTTGTGACGTTGTCCGAGCCGTCCGTGTGAAAGGGGGTCAATGATTGGAGGATGTCAATGGTAAGGCGATCTGCCATTGGTTGAGTTCACCATTAACTGAATTCGAAGGTAGATCGATTTACTGTGAAAGGAAAGAACAACATTGCTTTTAAATGAATAATATTATTGCAAATGAAATTCAAGGGTGGCTGGGTGGGTGTGTGGTCAACTGGACAAACGTCGGCTGGAGCTCAAACCCTACAAAATCTCAACGCGTATATACTTTAAACCTCCGCTGCCATGTCCAATGGTTGAACGTAAATGGTGTTAGAGAAAACATCTTCCAAAAAATCTGGAGATCAAGTCCCGTAAGCAAGTCACTGCACTCAAATACTAGTCGGACGGGCGGTAACTCGTGCGATTCCTCTAGTTCAGCGGTTCTCAACCTATGGGTCGCGACCCTTTTGCGGGTCGAATTACCATTTCCCAGGGGTCGCCGAAGACAAACGGAAAACACATATAATAACAGTTATGAAAATAATTTTGTGGTTGGGGGTCGCCACAACATGGAGAGCTCTATTAAAGGGTCGCGGCATTAAGAAGGTTGAGAACCGCTGCTCTAAGTTCAAAGCTGAATATTTTTGTTTAAATTTTATCAGGGGTACTCAAACGTTTTAAAACAGGGGTCCGTTCACTGTCCCTCTGACATGCTGTGGCCTGACTATAGTTGGAAAAAAATATGAACGGATTCCTTTTGCAGACTTTAAATATCTTATTTGATATTTTGAACAAAGAAAATAATTTTTAGCGAAGAACAATTTGTATCAAATTAAATGTACTAGTATTTCCATGTAAAGTACGGACCTTCTTTTGGTTAATGCCTGGTTTCTTCATATTTGTCACTGCTACTACGCGGGTACCCTGTGACCAGACAGGGCCGAACTAAGGACTTCTCAAATCTATGATTGGGTTCACCAGCTGAACGGAATCAACCTTAACAACGCCACTGCTTGGGCCAAGATAGAGTTAAAGAGAGGAAAAGTCTGAGATGGAGAATCTTACCGCTCGACGTCTGGCTGTTTGAAACTAATCTTCGCATTGCGTGTGACTGTATCCAGATATCAGTGCCAGGGACTAACTAACTACACGGGCTCAATCCATCAGCTATCCATCCACCATCCGTCCCAGAAGCCAACTCGTGCTAGGTTAACTCGTGTACACTATCGACGGGACAACGCACAAATTTAACAACCTTTTCGATTTTGAACTTTAAAAAAAATAAAAAAATTAGTCAGTGATTCACAAACTGTGTGTTGTTTATTTTTTAAAAATTAACTTTTATTTTGAAAAAAATAAGCATCTGAACCCAATCCTACGAGGACGAGTTGAACTAGATCTAATACTAATAACGCAAACGTGTTGAACATTTCGTTGACCGGTTTAGGATAGTGTTGTTATCTTAGTTGTGTTTATTGTGCAATTGTTTAAAAAATAAAGGGTCACAGGTGTGGGGGCTGGGACAATAAAATTAGGTTAATTTTTTTAAAGAAATCAAACATTTGAATTTGAATGCATAGACGAGTTTATTTTTTAATAAGGAACCCCCATCATGTGGCATATAGGAAATGTATGCGGAGGTGTCAGTCCACCCTGGGTGGCACATTTATCTTTATAATAAAAATGATGTAGTTTTTGGCCAACTGTAGAGTTGTTGTTTGTTTTTTTTTTCGTGGAATTGGGGCTGCACTTACCCTAGATACGCCCCATCATCAAGTCTCGTATTTATCCCAGACCCCAACTAAGATTTTACCCCCCCCCCCCCCCCCCCCCCCCCCCCCCCCCCCCCCCCCCCCTCGTATTTATCCCAGACCCCAACTAAGATTTTACCCCCCCCCCCCACCCCAGCATGCTCTCCCCTTTACCACAAATCAGTTTTTTTCTCTTCTAAATCCTCCTCCCTTATTGTGTTGCTCAATGGCATGACAATGTCCTTTAACTGAGACGTATGCTCCAATATTTAAATGGCATGTGAATCCAATGACTTATTCCACATAGCTTGCTTATTCACCATTTAAACACCAAAAAAAATAAAAAATTAATTAACTAAAAACAGAAATCCAACTTGATGTCGTGAAATTCTCAAGCACAGAACGTACACGCGTATGCGGCAAAATCCAAATTGAAAATGCAAACGAAAAAAAACTTGACCATGGCAAAGGGATTTATTTTCATCTAAGGGTTAAAGAAAATGATATAAAGTCAAGTAAGGAGTCTTTAAATTTAAAACGTGAGAACCGCTGGTCCTTTTTTCGGTTTCAACTGGTGACACACTCAGACAAGATCGACCAGGCTTTCATTAACTAAGAAGTATCGATCTCATTACGTAAGTTTGACCATCTATCTAAGTGTTAACAGTATTATGCGATCAGTCTTTTCTCTTGGTGAATAATAGTCCCTACTCTCCAAATCTGTATCATGAAATGTGTCTATTATTAGTAATATTAGTACCGGTATTAACAAACATTCTTCTACTATGTATACTAATTAAGTGGTGTAAATTCTCGCTGCAGTTACACACACTCTCCAAACCCTTGTTCTAATAATAAGTAAGTATAGTAGCATATGCTCTGCTTACAGTCCAACATAAAAGGTTTCTGTTAGGTTTCTCCCCACTCCGCAACCAGGAAACACAAATCCAAACCTATTTAACGAACGGCATGGTTCATCAAACGTTTCAAGGAGTCACAGCATCTAGGGCCTACTGGCAAATCTGCCACAAATGACTATAGATGTCACATTACCGTACGTTCCAACATGGCAGAGTTCAAAATTTAATTGATTCTACACTTGCTTGATTAACACACTAATTATGCCCGTTACCGTGGCATCACACGGGCCGTATAGAGTGCGTTTAGGAATAAGATCCATGAGGAAAATACACACACAATAACTATAACACATATTTAAAAAAAAAAGATGGGAAATTATGGGCTGCCAGGTAGGCCAATTTTACGACTGTTTAGGTAGGTCATCGTGGTAGATAATCTCCACAAATCCTAGAGCATGTAGTTTTATGCCCGTGGGGGGGGGGGTTGCTGAAAGAGACGTTTATACAGGGGCGTGTACTCTCTATGTGGCTTTGGGACTTGTTTATTAAATAAAGCATATGATTAGATGTGGTAATTAAAATTTAATTTTGTAGGAGGTCTAGTTTTTTTTTTATAGGTAGGCCAATTTGACGACTGTTTAGGTAGGTCATCGTGGTAGATAATCTCCACAAATCCTAGAGCATGTAGTTTTATGCCCGTGGGGGGGGGGGTTGCTGAAAGAGACCTTTATACAGAGGCGTGTACTCTCTATGTAGCTTTGGGACTTGTTTATTAAATAAAGCATATGAATAGATGTGGTACTTAAATATTAATTTTGTAGGAGGTCTAGTTTTTTTTTTAACCCCATACCAGCTACGCCGAACCGTATTATCTTAAAGGCTGACCTAGGCTGAAGCCTAGGGCCAAGAGCAGGGGCCCATGCAACCTTTAAACATGCCATGACCATGCTGCGTAGTCGGGGGGCACAAAGACGCTCGAAGCCCAAGGGCCATGTCACGGCACACTTTGGGTTGGTATCATTCATTGGGTTCATTCAATGAAAGGTCAGAACATGAAACACCCAATGGCGTAGCTGGGGGGGGGGGGTTCATTGGGTTCATTCAATGGAAGGTACGAACATGGAACGACCAATGGCGTAGGGGGGGGGGGGGGGTTAGTCTCGCACGGGGAGGGCGAATAATTTTGGTCCCCCTCCCCCTTTCACCCATGAAAAATCTTTACACAGGAAGGGGGGTGCGGTCCCACTGGTGGGCCTTTTTTCGTTTATATGGCAAAAGTCTTGCTCCACCTCTGGTGGCATTTCCCCTAGCTACGCCACTGACTTTACAGTTGGCCAAAAATGCCACCCCTCCCCCTCAATATATACCCGGTAGAAAAACAAGGGTCCCGGCGAGCACACTCCACAACCCTCTTTCCAATCCCGTCAAATCTGCTTTGCCAGCTTTCATAATCCACACATTTGTATGTTACACCTGATGAGGCCTGCATACAGTCATCTCTCTAAGTCAAATTGACTTAGACCGGTACTAGTTATAAAGAAACAGTTAAGTTAAACAGCAACAACAAATCAAACGACATGAGCCACGCCATGACCTCAATAATAGTCTGGTATGTGTCATGCTCTGAGAGAATTTCCATCTGTGTTATGCGTGTGTGAAAGAGAATGTGTTTTATTTCTTGGACTGCACTGACTTAAAAAAACAACATTTATTTCCCAAAGAATCACGTAATGTGATGGTGACTAATCATATACAGCAGCGGTTCTCAACCTGTGGGGCTCGACACCTATTTAACTATATTTCATATTAATTATTCTCCCCCTGTGTATGTTCACTACACTAGAAATACGCAGTGGCGTAGCGATGGTGTTTGGCGCCCGGGGACAAGATTCATTTTAAAGCGCCCCCTTTTCTTTTAACTCTCAAACCCATTATTTTTACCAATAATAATATCAAATCACATTTTGGCGCCCCTAGACATCTGTCCCCCCCTCGCTACGCCTCTGGAAATACGATATGAGCAGTGCATCTAATAATAGGAATTACTTTTTCAAACGCTATTCCGGCCTCTGTGTTTGAGGAACAGTGAACCGGCCCGCGCCCCCTCTTTTTTGCTGCTGTGAAATAACCGGTAAGGTAGTAATAGGCCTACCAATATATATTATATAGTGTCTTACGTTGAATCAATCAATCAATCAGCGGTCAAGTGAAGAACTTTATAATAATGCGTATTAAGACTATCAAAATATATAAACTACAGCATCCAGCGACGAAAACAATCATTATGTACCAGCAGTAGACATAGTAGTACCAGTGACCGTATCTCAGACCCTCACCGGTACTAGCAAGCAGTAGACCGGTACAGACATAGTAGTAGTACCAGTGACCGTACCGTATCTCAGACCCTCACATTAACATATGACTTGACACTCAATATCCTTTAAAATTAAAAACATCAAAAGAATTCACACAAACTCCACGCCACAATAAGTTTAAAAAAAGTAATGCATCACATCGGCATTACTTACTACAACTACTATACCGGTCGTTATCATAATACTTATAATAAGTTCTTATTGATGTGTGTCGAAGCGTTGAATCTTCATTCAAGAAATAAAAAGAACAAATAGAAATGGCTGCTTTGCCTCTATACGATAACTGAAGATCTTTCCTCTATCCTAATCCTACCCAACGTGTTTATGGGGGACGTGAGCATTTGGTGCCACCAGAGCAACACACGATAATTTGACAATTATTCCCAAATCTGGCATTCACTGTGACATTTAAACAGGAACACACCGACAAGCCTGCCAACTCAAGACATAACTCACACAGCCAATTTAAGTTTAACCACCAGCTACTACCGGTACTATACTATTACTAATCATTTTAAGAACGGTAGCACTAGCAGCAGTACCCAGGACATAGCAATACATATACCGTATAAAAATATTCAAATAATTATAATATAATCGTACACTGCTCTCTCAATGTCCAAGAGCTACAAAATATTGCAACAAAAAAAAAATAATAAAAAAATGCTAAGACTAAGAGATAAAACAATTTGTTAAATTGTGAGGATGATAAGTGTTCTAGTTCTACACACCATCTTCTTCTTCTTTATTTTAAGTTTAAAGGCCCACGATCAATGAATTGATCATTCTGGCTCCTATTTTTCAGAGGGGTTTGCAATGTTACTGTCCATGGGTTTCAATGGGATGCTTCACTGGTTGCAAGGGCGAATCAGCAGTGGTGTTATGAACTGGGGGTTGGAATACTAGTGTAGCTGCCTCAACTGTTGCTTTTGGAAGCTTGTTCCAGTCCCCTATTGTCTTCGGCAGGAATGAGGAGCTTCTGTACCATCGGGACCAGAAGCTATGTACCGGCACGTCAGCATACAGGTGAGTGACAAGTGGTTAGGGGTCGTTCGTGAATTACGTCACGCTAAAAATGGCCTTTTAAGTTTTAGACACCCCCCCCCCGTCACACCTAAAAAATCAACAAACATACAATTTTCATAACTAAACTAAGATTTTATTCTTTAACATTCTCTCATAATGGATTAATATGTACCGGTAGTATCAAGTATTATTTGAAAACTGAGTTTCATATTACCTATACTATAATACCTGATGCAAATTCAACATCAAATTGTTTTTAAATAAATTAAATACCAGTACAGATTTTTTAAAATTTAGAAAATGTAATTTGTGAGCAACCCCTTTGATAAATAAGGTGCCAGACCAGCGTCCACAGAGACCATTTAGCCTACACTTATACTAGGGAAAATGAATATCTATAAATATAGAATATACCAGGTACCGTAGGTGCTGCCAGAACTGCTGGTTGATTGCGTTCCTTTACGATTGCAGCTGCAGACCCGCAAGATGCTCGACTAGTTTTCCCATGGCATTTGCAAAGTTACGCCAGACAGGGCCCTCCATTTATTGGCAGGGCAATAGTAATCAAACTTAAGCACCAATTAAATTTCAAGGAACTTGGCACTCTTCATATACCGGAGGATTAGATACCATACCAGTACCGTTAGACCTTTATTACCGGTATGTAAATTTTCTTTACTCTATTCATATCGTAATCAAAGCCCAATTGTATAGAGCACTGACTGCCTTCAATAAGCCAGTAGTGTCTAAAATCTACCTGTTAGCCCCTTAATTAAATTCCAAATACATTGCAAGCTTGCTCAAAGTCATTGAACACCACAGGGGGTAACAATAGGTACCCGTATATAAAAAAAACTAATCAAGGATCCCACCCAGATTATCTCACTATGGGAAAAATCATGGTAACTCTACTGCCATACAAACAATACATTATAAACAGAAGACGGACATGGAAGCAACATGAGAATTTAAGTTTTTAAACTCCTTTATTCAAAAAGCAATTAACTTGCAGCTGGTTGCTGCTCTGTGGGCATGCTACGAATAATATCAGAATCACCTGTGGAAAAGAACGTAGGGGAAAAAAAATTCAGTTCATGGCACAGGTAAATTCTTATAAAAATTATCATTAAAATAAAGAAATAACCAACAAAGATGTCAAATCAGTGAAATTTCCATGGAGCTGTTCAACGACACCACAGGAAGACTACCATTAATTTTAATTTACGGCAGCATGGAAGGGTAATCTACTACAAAAAAGCAGTACCCATGGTTATGCCGATATTTACACAAAACAGAGTAAAAAAATAGACCTTTTATACACAAAACAGAACTAATTACCTGGGTCTGTGATAGACAGTGTGCAGCAGCGGAAATATTTACCGCAAGCTGTCCCAAGTTCAATATTGTTGCCGCCATAGTGGTGCACGCCAGTTTTGGCCAACATAGCATAGTATTCAATTTCTGATTTCCTTTAAATTAAAAAAGAAAGAAAAAACATATAATACACAACTTAGAATTAATACAACACCTACGGTACTTAAACTGACTGGGTAAAATACCTTTATTATTGGACAACCAAAATATACAAGCATCAAACGATCCAGCTGAGCAACACACAACCACTCAGAAGAAATATTTAAAAAAAAACTAATGCCAGAAACCTCAATGGGAATAAAATAAGATGTGTGACAGATCTTTGATATTAATCGTCCACCTTCAAAAGTCTCTGCGTCTTACCAGTAACCACACATAAACTCAACTTCAGAGAAGAAAACACAGACATATCAATGAGAGATGACTTCATCTTCACCACCAACATGGCTCCGAAGTCGCAATTTTAATTTAAGAACATCTTTTCTTTACTCATAAAATTTATGCACTACCGGTACCAGTAAAAAAAACTATACTATTAATCTTAGCTAACCTGCTGCTCTCCCTTGGTTAAACTGAACAGCACCATTACAAACACCCCCCACCAATCTTTTTTTGACAAACCTGTCCCACATAAACAAAATTGTTATGGCCATAGATAGGCCTAACTAAAAAAAAGGCAGAAATATACATATTTACCTAAGCGGTGGAGTGTTATTGGCAATAATGACCAACTTCGCCTTTCCTGCTCTTAAGGTCTTTAGTGTCTGTTTATAGCCCAACACATATTTACCAGATTTCATCACCAATGCTAAACGGGCATTGATGTTGTCTGCCGTCTTTTTCTAAAAAAATTTGTAAAAATCACATAAGCTCATGAAAGGTAAGTACCTGTATTTTGTATTAGATCACATTAGAAAAATAAATTTCCCAAAGAAAAAAAACATGTTTTTGTAATTTGTAAACACAGCTTAAGTCAAAGCATTTACAGTCTCTATTATTACACTAACTGACCAGATTTGTGGCAAAAGTGTCTTAACGCAGATGTAGGCCACAATTCTTACTCTCATAGATAGGAACACTTCAAAACATTCGAATATATAGTTTGAAATTCCTGTACATCTGATCATCCCATGAATATGAAAAGGTGACCCCCATCTGGTTTTAAAATTAGGTCAAGCTAAAATGACAAATATTAGATACAGCCGCAAGGTTGACTAGCGAATGGTGATGTCTTACGCGGTATGGTATAAGTCATGGGGAGTCTCAACACTGAACTCAGGGTAACACAATATGAAGGATATGTCACCGATAAAGTCGACATGAGTTTTTGAACAAGCTAACTGAACTAACTTATTTAACATTAACTTAGTCTTAGTCACACTCATCAAATTGAAACTTACTGCTTTCTTTTGAGCGACCATTTTTCTTGATTGAATTGCAACAACCCTTGATAACACTCTGAAAATATTATGAAATCTTTTAAATAGACATTCTCAACACTAATTAACAAAACATATTAAAACTTTGCACACACGAAATTTCCATGCTTACCACGCGGGGTCTTGAGGGAAAAAGGAAGGACGTATTACGCACCCGGATGCCTTTAATTTATATTGAATGAATATCGGGGGGAAAAAAAGCTCGATTACTTTACAAAAAAAAAAAAAATCAAAATCTATTTATGGAAAGAAAAAAGATGAGAAAAAATATTAATAATAAAATCTTGAATATTCAATTTTTTGCTTAAACACGGAGTTAGCAAAATAAACAAAAAAAATCTTACTTTACATTTACTTTTGATAAAAATAGAATTCGATTTCAAATTTAATAATCATGGCAACTACCTCACGCGAGAGTGGAGTAATGCCAGTTTGGTTCATTTATCAGTTTCATTCCCGTTTCCAAAAGCTCTAAATTTAAGAATCATTTTAACTTTTGAAGAGAAACTAGAAATGGAATAAATATTATAAACCTTATATACATACATTAAAATTGCATGGAGTTCGAATTAAAAATGGAAAAAAATATGTATATAAAAAAAGAAATCTATAATTTTTTAACATTAAATGAAAAATGATATTTACCGACAAACTAGTCATAATAGGAAAGGTCAAAGTTCAAAAGGCACATAAACATTCACCGACCGCTCTTTACTAAATAAGTAAATATGGTACCAGAATTGCAATTTGTTTGAGTTTGAGGTACACATTGAAATTTTGAGGGCGCCTCTGTTCGGTTGTGTGCCCACTCAATAATAATACTAAATAATTAGTAGTTATTTCCCTTCCCCATTTCAACTTTGGGTCCTAGCAATGGACATAGAAGAAGTAGAAGCTGCAAGGGTTGCAAAATTGCATGCAAGGTGCTTGCGACGGCTCTGTTGTACTTGTAACTTGTAACTGTTGGCCATTCAACCAGTCTGACTCTGACTATTTTTGTCTACATTTATTTTAATGTCCTATTAACAACAGCATAAAGAAGCAGCAATGTTAGAAATTCTCGTATTTTTCCCTACCAGACTTAGACCTGTGATAATTTCCACTGTTTATTATTAATTAGTTTATTATTTAAAAAATTATTTTCACTACTCTGACTACTGATCACTCAGACTCAGTAACTAAAATGAAGTTAAAAATAAATCCATCTAAATAATATTAATATATATAATATAGTCTATATTGTAGAGGCCTACTACTTATACTATCCATGTGGTTAACTGTAACTGAGGTCTATTCTTATTCTAATTTTAATAACAATAAGGGTCATTTGACAATTTGTATACATTTATTTACTTTTAATTTTGTAATCGGCCCTAAGCTTAAGTAAGTATGATCTAAGTGAAAGTAGCAATGATTGATGTATAACTTATACTTGTATAGATGTACAGTTGACTAGTTATAGCAAAATACAGACACTCTGACACACAGCAACACATATTATGAAATATATAAGACATGCCTTTTGTTGTGTATATTCTAGTCTGTTAGTACTTAGGAAAAACTAAAAATGGCCACATACTTGTCTCGTCACATTGGTCGGAAGTTCAACATAGCGAAATCAACAGAAAAATGCTGTTTATATACCCCACATTCTTCAAGAAGTTCAATCAACAACAAATCAACATTCCATAGTAAATCATTTCAAAGTGGTAAGAGTACTAAGAGAAATTGCTAAAGAAATTACTAACTGACCAGCCTATGACTCAACTCAATGACACCAGATTACGCAATGACTAAACTAAATGAAATTGAAAACTAACAAAAAATATGCTGGACACCACTTACCATTACAAGGCCTTAAAAAGTATGATACTGCATTGTACTATAGTACAAAATTACTTTAGACTAACGATTAGAAACACTGGTAAATTTGGATTATATGGTATACTCGGAAAGCATTTACTTGCAATTTATCATTCATATTTGGGGAAAGTCTATGTCCATTTACTTAAATGTAGAAGAGCTCCATACTGCATAATCCAAACAGTCCAAAATACTTGCAAGAGTTAGGTCTAATAGAAAAAACTTTTCATAGCTATTTTTGTAATGTTAATTAAAATATGAGCATTTTATTTTTTTTTAAAACAACAGACTAAATTTATAATAAAAGAAACAAATCAATAATAAAAGATGATCACATAAATTTTAAATATGTTATCTTCCACTTTTTCTCAGATTTTCTCCAAATTTCTGAAGAGGTCAGGGAAGCACTGCACACAAAGAAACCTGTGGTAGCTCTAGAAAGTACCATCATCACTCATGGTATGCCCTATCCCCATAATTTCAGGTACACCACATTGCATTTAATTTTGTTTCAAGCACATAAAAACTTACTTAATTTTCACACAGATGTTTTCTCATTTCTCTCAAAATTAAAATTTGTTTCTTTTAAATTTTTATTCATTAAAAATTTTTTTGCAGCACAGCTTTAAGTGTGGAAAAAAAAGTTAGAGACAATGGCGCTGTGCCGGCCACTGTTGCCGTTATGCGTGGAAAGCTTTGTGTGGGTAGGTGGTTCACTTTTTTTATAAAAAAAATAATTTCAGTATTGCTATATATTATATTCTTATGCATACTTTTGGAATGATTTATGAAAAGATGTTATATTTATTCATTTATTGTTAAACTTCTGTTAGTTTAAATGTGAAAAATCTTAAAATTCGTCTCATATAAAATTTGTCTCATATATTTATACCATATGCCACCATCCAGGTGTGTGTGATACAGATATCATCTGGTTAGCAGAGAAAAATTCCAGTCTTGTTAAAGTTTCTAGAAGAGATCTGCCCTACTTATTAAGTCAGGTAATACCTTCATTTTTATTGATAAGCTTACATAATTGACATAAAAAGAGTTGAATAAAAAAAATAGCAAAATAAATGATCTGGATTGTAAAACACTTAAAGCTATCAAAACTGGATAGATTCTTTGAAATTTCAAATTAAAAATATAAAATAAAAAGTCTGAAAGAGAGGGAAATTTTGTTATATTCAAAAGAATTATACTAGGTAAATTTTGCATTCTTAAAATTAGTGTCATGCCATTGCTTTAAGAGAAGGCTTGACACAAAAAAACCAAAGTTAATTATTTTAAATTATAAAATGATTACAAGTTAATAATATTAATTTAAACATATATTTTTCCAGTGGGTTGTAACCCTGGCAGGATGAGCCATTTCTCAGTCAGATCATGAAAAAAAAAAATTGCAAGCAGGTTATCTTTCTGACTATATCACATTAATAGTATATGTATTGTATGCATGAATATTAAATGTTTTCTTTTTCTGGATAGGGACTGAGTGGTGGAACAACAGTATCAGCCACCATGATGGCATCTCACATGGCAGGGATTCAAGTTTTTGCTACAGGAGGTGTAGGGGGAGTACACCGGGGAGCTGAGAACAGTAAGAGGAATATACACGCAGATGCCTAATACAAGTGATTTAAAATATAATGGGAAATTCGTCCTCTTAGCTAACTGCAAAATAAAATAAATTTGATACATTTTTTTTATTTAACAACCAGGTTTTGACATTAGTGCAGATCTGACGGAACTGGGTCGCACCCCTGTGAGTGTTATTTCATCAGGAGTCAAATCTATTCTGGACATACCCAAGACATTAGAATACCTGGTAATATTTGATTTCAATGAGGAATCCCCAGATTGAGTCGGATTTTCTCTTTCTTTCAGTGATCCAAAGTGTTTAAGATTTGCTAAATATTCTTTTAGCTTACTAGTTTTTTTTAGTAATTAGAGAGTGTAGGGGGGTGTTGGACTGCAGTAACGCTCAAGTAGACAAAACAATGTGTAGCCAAAGGCATTCTTTTTTTTTTTTTTTTTTTTTTTTTTTTATTTTTTTTTTTTTTTTTTTTTTTTTTTTTTTGTAATATTTTTTTCTTTTGACAAAATTGATTAAAAATATTATAAAATCTTAGCATTTACTTTAATTCCTTTGCTTTACTGAATTTTGACTTAAAACCATTGATCTCATTGTTGTTGTAAATTTACCTTAGATCTAGTTGTTTGCAGTATTAAGAAACTGTTTAGGAATGTAAGATTTTTTCTATATAAGAAGAACTGTTATTTTGTCTTCTATTTTTATCTGTTTGATGATTCCAAAATCTTCATTTTTGTAAAGGAAACTCAGGGAACTTGTGTCATGACCTTTGGGAAAGACAGAAACTTCCCCGCTTTTTTCTCACCAGAAAGTGGTTACCAAGCACCTTACAATATCATATCACATCTGGAGGCAGCACAGGTTATAGGTTTGTGGTTGAATTTTTTGGGTCCACTTTTGTTTAACCCCCGTCTTTACTAGTTATGCTTGGTCAGAAAAGGGGAGAAAAAAAATTATTTTTTTATTTTATCCTGAGTTGTTGAGGTTTTTCCATTTCATTTGGGATTTAACAGCCAAGGGCCCCCACCCCCAATTTTTTGTTTTGTTTTGTTTTTTTCTTGTTTGTTGTTGTCCCGGAATGGCTACTTTGGGCTGAGGAATCCATTCCATCTCATATCTCATCATTAGCCCACAGCTTGATATGACCTGTAATGACTTTTAACATTTTGGTTCGGAAGCAATTGTTTTTTTTTGGGCAACATGGGCTTATAATTATAATTAAAATTGTGTAAAACATTTCATTTGGTAATTTTTATACAACATACAATCTGTGGTGAACACAATCTGTGGTGAACACAATCTGTGGTGAACACAATCTGTGGTGAACACAATCTGTGGTGAACACAATCTGTGGTGAACACAATCTGTGGTGAACACAATCTGTGGTGAACACAATTTGTGGTGAACACAATCTGTGGTGAACACAATCTGTGGTGAACACAATCTGTGGTGAACACAATCTGTGATTCATCTATAACACCCTACTTTTTAATGGCCCTTGAAGTGGCTGCTTATTCAGAATCAGTTGTAGAATTTCTAAATGAAATAATTTCAAATATATCATTTTCTAGATGCAAATCTCAGAGCTGGATTAGAAAGTGGAATTCTGATTGCTGTTCCAATCCCTCCAGAGTTTGCTGCCACAGGGGAGCTAATTCAAAATGCAATAAATGAAGCTCTGCGTTTGGCCAGGTAAAACACAGTTTTGTAATGTAAGATTATGGTTGTGTTTTTTATATATATTTTTATATTCTTTAAAAAAATTAATATCATAGTCATCTCTATATCTAAAACTTATCCGTTAAACATTAATAATTTTGTTTTAAAATTATTTTCTTCGGTGATTTCAGTGTAAACAATGTAACTGGTAAAGAGGTGACTCCGTACCTACTGAACATGGTAAATCAGCTTACTAAAGGGGAGTCTTTAATGGCTAGTATCCTTTTTTTTACAGTTATAATTTTAAAAAAACACACACACTTTTTCACTGATAGGATGCATAAACTTTTCAATCTTATTTATGTGAACCTTTCTTCTGAGAAAGACCTATTATTTAATTCAGAATTGAACAACAAAATTACTTGTGCGTGAGTCCATTTGTCCTTAAACCAAGACAAGATATTGCCCTTATTGAAAATAATGCCTCTGTAGCTGGTGGCATTGCTAGTTGCCTTGCCCAACTACGCAGTGGTGTCCCTTTAGATAAGATTGTTACTCCACCACAATCCACTTCCTGCTCTCTTCTGTCATCCCCTACCCTAAAGTCTGCTTTAACAGACTCATCCATCAAGCTGAGACAGACGGTGGAGAAGCAGAATGTCAAGACAACAAAAAATGTGGAGGAGGGCCGCAACAAGACACTATTGGGTAGGCCAGTAGGTGTCTGTTTTTTTTTTTAAATTTTCATTATTGAAGTTCTCTTACAATTGTTTTTCCTGTGCTATTTTTTAAATGTTTTTTTGGGATATTGTTCAGTAAATAATGCAGCTGTATATGATAAAATAATTTTAAAGAAGGATGTATTGTTAAAGCATTGATTTAGTTCATAAGGTGTTTGTTCATAAGGTGTTAGTTCATAAGGTGTTAGTTCATAAGGTGTGCTGTACTAAAACGAACTTAAAAAAATGTGTGGTGGAGAGGGTGGGTTTAATTTACTAATGCTGATAATATAATACACCATCTTTTTGGCTTTCCAGTTTAAAAAAAAAGAATACAAACATTCAGTGCAGGTCAAGCAAATAATTTGTTGAAAAAGTTTTATTTTAATTGAAAATGTACTGATATTTGTTCCATTACAATTATTATCTATCATTTCTCTATGATAAGAAAATTAATGTCGTTATTTTTATCTCGTTTTTTTCTTCTTCTGTAAATCAATAATTTTGTTGATGTCTTTTTCTCAGGTTGTTATTGGCTCAACAGTTGTGGATTTTAGCGTTCAGGTGGACGACCCCAATTTTCAGGTATGTTATACAGAGGAACCCCAGTTAACAAATGCCCCATTTAAAGAACAAATTAGTGAACGAACACGTTTTGAGAAAATTTTTATCTTGGGTTGCGAATGATACTTTTGGAGACAGTCCCATGGGCTCAGTAGAGCGTCAGTACATTTGCAGTAAACATCGTTTGTCATTGTGCTATGTTCAAATACACAAATTTTTGTTATTTTAGTCCTTAGTTATTATGGCGGCAACTGAGAAAATTGTTATAATTATTATTAATAGGAATCGTGTTAGTGTGAATAGGTATGGTGTTAGTGTGAATAGGAATCATGTTAGTGTGGAAGTAAAGAAAGAAATTTTATTAAAGAAATTATAATGGCAGTATTGTTTCATTCATTAAGTGCTTTATATCTATAATAAAGGATATATTAATTGCATACTATAATTTTAATTACAGAAAAACACTTAAAAAATATAAAAATACCAAATTTTTAAGGCTGGAGCAGATTAATGGAATTTACATTGATTTCAATGAGAATAATCCTTTTAGTTATAAAAAGTTTGGTTTAAGAACAGAGTCACTGAATGGATTAAGTTCATCAGTGAGGTTCCACTGTAATTTGACTTTAGTGAGACAAATTTGAGAATGCAGTTAAAATGGTATTTTTTAAAAATCTGGCAATACAATTTTTCATATTTAAAAGCATTTTGAGGGTTGGTATTAAAAATGAAATTTTATTCCATTTATTTTAGCTCAATGGTGGCACCTACTCTGGTAAAGTCTCAGAGTCATTTGGCGGTGTTGGCAGAAATCTGGCCGACTGCTTGAGCAGACTTGCTTTCAAACCTGTGTTCATTTCTGCTGTAGGGAATGATTCCCATTCTATGGCTATGTCATCATTCTGCAGCCATATGGTATGTGCATGCTTGAATAGTCGTAACAATAATGTGATAAAAAGGTTATATGAGATTATCCCACACACTGAGCTCTTACCCAATCAATTGCTTATAAATTCTGCCTATTGATTTATGTATTAATATAAGATTATGAAAGCATTTTTGTGTTGCTATGATTGGTGTTCATTAAAATTGTTTACATTCTTCTGTTGTTTTCATGGCTGCATCATTGCAAACATCAATATTTTTAAAATGAAGAACATGTAGTGTGACATAATTGTCTTTTCTTCCCAGGATCTGAGTTCCATACAGAAAATTGACAACATGACAACAGCCACCTGTTGTGTGCTGTTGTCTAAAGGAAAGTTCCTGCTTGGTGTTGGTGACATGGGTGTCAACTCAAAGTTAACCCTTGACCAGGTGACGTCTATGATAAGGTTACTGTGATCAGGTTATTGTGATCAGGTTATCATAAATTAGTACAAAACCATTTTGCATGATGGTATGTTGTTAGAAGGAAAGTTCATTTGAAAGGAACTGTTGGAAATGAAATTTATTAAGGGACATTTAACAAGAAAATGTTTGTCAAGGGAAATTGTAAGTGAGAATGTCAGAAAAAGTAAAGTTTAATTTTAATTTTATTTTTTGTGTCCGCCCCCAATTATTTTCATGCAAATAAACTTTTGTTAGAGCAACATTACTTCTTCAAACTGGTTTTTGAACAAATTGGTATTGAACATACTGGTTTTGAACAAATTTGTGTTGAACAAATTGGTTTTGTTCTATGATCGGATAAGAACAAATTGTTGTCCGACTGCCATCACTGCTGGCACACCAGGATAATCTGAAATAAATGTATCTCTCTTGTGCTATCATCAGATTGATGGTGCAGAAGTGATAAAAACAAAAAATAAAAGCATTAATAATTTTGAGAATACATTTTTTTTTCTGAAATGATTTGTGGGCATCCTGGTTTAACAACTTGGTAATTGTAAAGCTTATTTATTTTTAAACTTAAAATAATTTTACGAGAGTTATTTTAAACTGCAGAAGTATTTTTTTGGCTAAATAAAAAATCTGTTACAAATATTATACATTACAAATTTGATTAAACATTATTTCTTCATTGAAAGTCATTCTTACAAACAGATAAATTTAAACTTTACTGGTTCCATCTTCAACAGGTGAAAAATTTTGACTCCTTGATTGAATCTGCTCCTGTGGCCATGCTTGATGGAAATTTTTCATCCACATTTATTGCCACAGTTGTAGACAAATGTGCTAGATTTAATGTGCCAGGTAAAAAGTTTTATCATCTAACAGAATTGAATATGTGGCATGCTAACCAAAATATGAAGAAAATTTTGTTTATTTTTAAAGACAAAATTTAAATTTAATCCTAAAATTGAAATGAGTGAAAGCTGATTTGGTAATAATTGTTTGTGCTTGTTATATGATTAATTAAAAAAACAAATCACATAGAAATTTGTTTGAATGAATATATTTAAGAAGGCTGAGTTATATAAACACAATAAATAGTTATAGAACTCATATTTACAATCATGTGATAAGTGAAATTTACAATCATGTGATAAGTGAAAGGTACAATCATATGATGATAAGTGAAAGATACAATCATGTGATAAGTGAAAGTTACAATCATGTGATAAGTGAAAGATGCAATCATGTGTTATGTGAAAGATTCCCATTCTATTCTTAGTTTGGTTTGAACCCACTGACTTGTACAAGTCCAAGACGCCATTTGAGACTGACGCTTGGAAACAACTGTCATTCATCTCTCCGAATTTGGGAGAGCTGCTCTCCATGTACCAGGCTTTGCGGGCCAAACTGGGCCAAGAGGAAACAACTGGTTTGTTTTTCTGTTAATCATTCCTTATTGAATGTTAAATCTGATGGCAATTAGAACATGTTATTCAGAGTTTTTTTGGTGTAATAGCTTTATCTTAATGTTACTTGAATCTCATCAATTATTTTATTACTGAAATACCATTATTTTATATTTAAATACCTCAAAGGCAAGTGAACTTAAGTAGACACAGATTAATGACCTTTGATGAAATGAAACAATGCAGAAGACACTCAAACCTTGGACATTTAAAAAAAAAATGTTTTTTAATTGAAAATTTCGTTTATTAAAATTTATAAATATGTTTGTTTGACCAGTGTCACTCTGTGAAGAGTCGTCAAGTCAGCAGGAAATTATTGACACTTCTATCACAATTTGCCGTGAACTTGTTGCACACATTCCAGTTGTTTTGCTGACCTTGGGCCGACACGGCGTTCTCCTGTGCCACAATTTAGGGGATGTTAAACATTTCCTTCCTCTACCTAGTTCCATGAAAAGTGACAAGGTTTGTTTAATTTCATCTTGAACGATTTTTTAATCTTTTTTTTAAAGAAAATGTTTTGTTTTAGTTTATCTATGAGATATGCCTCTAATGAGTTTTGGGTAAAAGAGATTGAACCATGCACAGCTTTGTACTCATTGAACTTATGTGTTACATCTCTGCTCACATTCATGGAACTTATACATTTTGTAAAATTGTAACAACTTCCCTCACTTCTTTTCATACTACTTGTTCTTTTTGTGTGCGATTAATGAAAAAATATTTTGTATTTTTATTTATTTCAGAGCACATCTTTCAAGGCCATGTTTTACCCAGCATTCAGCAAGGACATCGACCCTTCAAAGATTGTCAGTGTTTCTGGGGCAGGAGATTGGTACGTGAAAATTATTTGAATGAAATATATAACTTAATAATGTAAGCATCATTAACGATAAGCTCCGGTTACAGATAGTAAGTACAACCTGCTTAAAACATAGATTTTTTTGTTTTTTTATCTGATTTTTAATATGAGGTGAGAAGTGAACCAACCTTTCTGCATAATAATAATAATAATAAAGTGTATTTCAAATACACGCTTCATCCCCAAAGGCTCGAAGCGCGGTACAAGAGTTAAAAAAATCTATAATTTACCATATTTAAAACAAACGCAACACTACAAAAACTAATTACAAGCATATAAAAACCAAGTCAAAGTCTTTCTACCCATTTCAACCCTGAGCAACACAGCTAATATGCATTAAATGGAAAATATGGTAGACAATCATCCCAGAAGGTGTTTGCGAAATAAATGTGTCTTTAAATCGGTTTTAAAGGACTCCAGTGTCTGATTGTTTCTGAGATCGACTGGAAGGGCGTTCCAAATTGTTGGACCAGCAAATGCAAAAGTGCGCTTTCCGCAAGTCTCAAGGCGAACACGTGGTGTCAAGAGTTTGCCACTGTCGGATGAGCGGACTAGAGGCAACTAAAACTACTGTCATTGAAAAATTTTGAACTAGCCTTAGTTAAATGTCATCACTGTCTTAGATATTATAAAGCAGACACTAAAAACTTTAATTTTAATTTTGAAATTAACTGTAGGCATTAAATTTTAAAAAAATGACAATGTCGATTAGATTACGTGTGAAACATCCTTATAGAAAGACTACAATGTTTTAGTAGAGGTGAATTCCATAGAAACTTTGTTAACTTTCAGAAAAATAATTTAAATTTGCATCCAGTATAAATGAAAAATGCAATTAAGTGTGCTTAATTTAACTACATAGTACAGGGTCTGGGTTTTGGGGTATAAAGTTGGTAGACTGTAAAACCATAGCTTTTATAAATTTACGCATAGTAGTAAAAACAAATATTTGCAATTATAAGTGACGTAACATGCAAAAGATATATTTGAGTTAGCATCTTTTTTGTTGATTTTCTCTGTAATCTGCTTTATTTGAAATATACTTTTTCCAACTAATTATCTACAGTGTTTACTTTTCTAAGGAAAGGCTTTAAAAACTACTTAGAAAGCACATGTAAAAAAAGAAATAAAGATAAAATAATGACACTGACTTAACTTAACCTATGTCAATTCATTTACAGAACTGCAAAAACTTCACTTCAACAGTTATAATGAACTTAGATATATATAACTAACAGTGTTTTAATGCTTGTCCATCATGTGACATTGACCATGACAATGAAAATTGTCTGGCTATGTTTATTAGATATAAACACAATGACATTCAAAACATTTTCTTTTAAATGTGCAGACAACATGTTCATAATTAAAGATGGCCACCAGGTCATGTGTCCCACAAAACAAAGCTACTAAAAATGACTCCATACCAAGATACTTGAGATAAATTTACATGGCACCAAATGTTATGCAATTTATTTTTTGGATTTTTGTATCCACTTTTAAATGAAATTCACCTAGAGTTCTATAGAAGTGTGATAAAGTAATACCATGTTCTGTTTTGAATTCATCAATTTGAAATTTTATTCAATCAGCCTGGCAGCAACTGTTGTAGCCAGTATGCTGGACGGGCAGCCAATTGACCAGTGCATCAAACATGGCTTGCTGGCCGCATACATCTCGCTGCTCACACCCAGTGCTGTACCTGACAACATCTCAAGATCTGGCATCTTAGAGCAAGAAAAGCTTCTCATGAAAGTCTCATGGTCTCCTGCTGATGTTACCAATGGGTTTACTAAGTGCTAAAACGAAAGGCTGATTAAATTGTTGGCAAAACAGTTTTAAGGTTAAGGACTGTTGTAAAATTCAGTGATTGACATCCATACTTATAAATGATACATTTCCTGTTTAACAGATGAGAAATACTTATGAAATGAAGGTGGTTATATGATGAACCATATATGATGAATATATACATTTTATTTGTTTTACCATTAATTTTTATTTTATGTTTTTAACAATTTTCTTTAATTTTAACATAAAAATCAAAACTCTGGTCATGACAGTTGTAAAATTATTGTTTAAAACTTTTTTTTTTTCTAAGTACCGTAATAGGACAAGGACATGGGAAAAATAATATTTTGAAAGAGGCAGGCTTATTAAACCTTATAAAATTACAAATTGTCCTGAAAATAAATAGTCCTGAAAATAAATAGTCCTGAATACTAAAATATTTTGTCAATGCTATTATGTGATTATTTTTTTTCCATGCAATAATTTAAATTTTCATTGATATAAAAACAGACATTTCTCATAAGACAGGGTAAAGAGTTTAGACCCTTTTCGCCAAGAGGGAAAATCAAAGGCCAGCCTTTTTTAGCTTGGTGTCAAATTAGAACACCTGAATAACAGTATTATTTCACTGTCATAAATCTGGCATTGAAGCCAGGGGTTCAGTTTTATGACTAGAGCTGGAATAACTGTAGTAATTCTACAAGTAGGAGTTTTAAGCTTTGTATGAAACTAACTTTAAAAAGAAGACCCAACCAGGCCATATAAAAAGAAGACTCAACCAGGCCATATAAAAAGAAGACCAAACCAGGCCATATAAAAAAAAGACCCAACCAGGCCATATAAAAAGAAGACCAAAACAAACCATATAAAAAGAAGACCAAACAAAGCCATATAAAAAAAAGACACAACCAGACAAAATAAAAAAAAGACTAAATATAAAAAGAAGACCAAAACAGGCCATATAAAAAAAAGACCCAACCAGGCCATATAAAAAGAAGAGGATTATTTAAAAAAAAAAAAAAAAAAGAAAACTGTCCTTGTTTTTTTTCTCTCCCAGCCGTCAATTAAGTCAGTCGTACCATAAATAATTGCACCGAAATGTAAGGGGCAGCTCAGAAATGTTTGTGATGACTGTTATTAAAATTGCATTCTATTTTTATGCGCATTAAGGATGGACACACATTTTTATAGTGATAGACTTTGTTAGGAGAAATCTATTGTTGGGTGAAGGTGTTTATCATTATTTTGATTTTATATGTAACTAAATAGTTGTCTTACATCTAGGTGCCAAAGCTTTTTTTAATTTTTTTTTTAAATTCTCTTTTTCTTGAAATTTTATAATAGTTGTCTTACATCTAGGTGCCAAAGCTTTTTTTAATTTTTTTTTTAAATTCTCTTTTTCTTGAAATTTTATTGACAGTTTTTTTTATTGGGGGTGGGTGGGGGGGGGGCTTTGACATTTACTGATGTGATTAATGCATGAGCATCTTGTTGCGTCAAGATATAGTTTGTGACACCTTTGTATGTATTGCCAGGAAAGTTATGCCATGAATACACAAATGTTCCAATCAATTCTTTCCACTGAAGTAGAAGTTCTCAAAAACATGCATTTATAATAAATTACAACTTTAATAGAATAACAGCAAACACGCAAAATAATTTAGGCCATCATAATTGACCAGATGCCCTATACACAAAAGACTTTGTTAAAAAAAGACAATTGGAGTCATCCAAGGCTTAAAATGATTACATAACTATGATTATTTGACTATGATTATTAAGAATGATTATTTGACTATGATTAAGTTTCCTGATAAATTTGTTATGTTGTTTGACAGTGTTAACTGAGAGCAGCTATAGAAGTTTGTGAGTTTAATCTCTAGCCAAAAATTTACTTCTGACTTAAGGCCTAATAATATACAGCAATGCATTATTTGCAATGATTCATTCCTTTACAATTTAATATGCATAATAGATCAGGTTTTTGTTGGGTATTTTCCTTGATTTTATTTGCTTTACAATTATTTTAAAGTGCAATTTGTTTCAAATAGTGTGTTGAAATGTCATTGAGCATTCAGGTGGCTTTTACATAAAAAAATATACATGGTATGTATGCACTACCATTTATTCAGTATTCTACTAACTAACATACATATTGTGGTAGGGGCTTGAGCCTACTCTCTTAAAGCCCCGGCTAGTACAGTGGCAACCTGCCCCACTGGTGGGCAGTGCCATACAACATTGTCTGAAAGTAGGACTCTCCCGCCCCATGGCCTTCCCAGCAACATCCAGTATTCTACTAGACTATTATTTGCAATTCATGTACCATTTAATTAATGAAAACTGTGGTTGTGATCGGGTCTTTAATTTGTATTTATAAAGTGCTTAATTTTCTTCAGGTAAGTGGCAATTTTTTTACTGCTAAACTATGCTACATGTGCGCTTTCATGGAATTAGAATTATGTTTTTTTTTTAATCTCTTATCAATTGCACTTTAAAATGGCTGCTACTTTTTAATAGAAAAGTTTTCAACTGTTTTATAATTTGTTGATGGAAGTTAAATTATCTGTAATTTTTCTTCTTGATCATTTTTTGATCATTGTGTTCTTGTCATTACACAAATGTGGGATATCCATTAGAATATTTCTTATTTTTTCATATTTGAAATATCCATTAGCATATTTTTAACTTGTCATATGTGGAATATCCATTATCATATTTTGTTTGGTCATACATGGGATATCTATTAGCACATTTGTTAACTTGTCATGTGTGGAGTGTGGGTTATCCCTTAGCATATCTGTTAACTCTTCATATAGTGGGACCAAATTTGAATCTCTTGCTGGTAGTTTTAAACTTTTTGTCCTTTCTTTCCTGCCATCATTCTGTTATCCACCCCCCCACCCACCCCACACACACCCCTGCGGTGGCTCTTATGCCATCAAGGATCTCTCACCTAGTTTCTCTTTCTCTCAAAGTTGCCCCTCCTACTTATAATCATTTTGCCCAAATGAGAAACCAGCATTCGGCAAGCATCTTATGACTATTACTGTACGATTATTGTTTAACAACTCTATAATGTTTTATTAGACTTGGCCATATCAACAGCTGGTGTTCAACTGAATGCTGCTCCCCATAGCATGTTTCAAGTTTTGTTTAATCATTTTATAGATTGGCTTGGTGAGAAGTTATTTTCCCTTTTTTTCTTGAAATATTTCAAGTGCTCCCAAACTAAACTGTTTTGAACAATGAGAGCCCCCCCTTTTTTTTTAAACCTGAAAAACACACCTTTGATTTGAATATTCCAATATTTTAAAGATTATAAAAACAGTCTCATTTTGGTTTTGTTTATGTGTATGGATCACCTGGATGCTACCCACCAATGAACCTCCCCCCTCCTGGGATCTTTTGAACCCTGATTTGAATTAATTTTGACATGATCAGATATAATTATGCATGAAAGCTTGCTTGTGTATGAAAAATATTTGTTGATCATATACAAAATTTGTTTCAGATCTAAATGTATTAAATATATTAATATTTTCACCATATACACATTATGCTGATATATACAGAGAGGTGGGTGGTTTCTGTTGTGCTATTTGTCAAGTTTTTTTGTGATGAAATTAATAAACAATTGAAGTATACAGACAACACAGACATTTTATTGTTACCATTTTTTTATCTCTTATTTATGTTTATTAATCTAATGCCTGTCAATGTATGTGAAGATGTATTATCTAATAAGTAATAGTAAGCCTCATCATGTATTATATTGTAAAAATAACAATTATAGAAAATTTTCTTTCCTTGATGGTCTACAATTTTAATAGATCAGATTGATATTTTTGCCCTCCATTCTTCATTTCTTGCACTATTACGCCAGCGAGAGTGAGAAATGAAAACCAAAAATTCAGATCTTTGGCACCATGTTGCCAAATGGAATCAATCCAATACTCGCTAGTGGTCCTCGATTTACCCCCATTTTTATTCTAAATGTGTACTTTGTAAAATATTAAACTTTACACTAATAATGGTACAATTCTTTTAGTTTGACAGAGTGCATTACAGGATTATTTGGGGCCAGCATTTTGGTTTTGAACAACGCTATTGTTGTTATTTCCGTTTCTAAACGAGCGTTTCTAACTGTGAGAACCACGTTTCGGTCAGAATCTTTGAACACATGCCGTTTACAATTTCTATTTATTGTTGTTTGTTGTCTTTTTTTTGTTGGTTTTATTTACTGAAGAAGCTGTAACGTCCTTGTAATCTGTCTTTTGTTTTCCAAAGCCCAAGCAAAAACATATCTGTTCCACTATTTATTTTCTTTACAAGGCTTGAACACAGTCCTACATATGTTATCCTAAAATTATATTTATTTGATACTTTTTTAATTTCAATAAGTCTAGATTAGCTAGATTAGTCCAAGAGAGAACAATAACAGGTAATAGATCAGAATACTTCACACACAAAAAAAAGTTACTGTATTGTCTGTATCTAAGGTAAATGTAAAAATTAATTAAGTAAGTCTGCACCCCACATGTACCAAATCAAAATATCCTTTAAATTTAATACAGCAAGACCAGGTTTTAATTGTTAATGGTTAGAATTTGAATTATACAGGATTTTAGCATATTTCATAATTATCTTTTTTTTTTTTAAATATTTGAATCAAGAAATTGTGCTTTATAGCTTTCTTCACTATTGTCTAACTTTTCCTTTAATAAAAAATTATTTGAATCGTAATTTTTTACATAATATGAATTCTATAATAATATATAGGCATGCCTCCATCTTTGCGAGACCATGGAGTGAGTGGCTAGTAACACGTTCTAAAATGGCATTGTTGGCTGCTCTTCTCCCAGGAGAACCTTGCCTCCTGTTTAAATGTGGCCTTCCATAATGCTCTGCCTGTTTGACTACAGCACACACTACTGTTGACCAGCTAGAACGGTGCTCAGCGAAATCTCCCATTGGTTGATTTCTAAGCTGGCTTCCCTCATATTCCCTTTAAAAGCGTCCTTAAATCGTGCCCGTCCAAAAATTCCTGCCCCCTCTTCAACTCTGCATACAGCAGATTTGTTTTGGAAAACGGCCTCCCTTCATTCTTCTTACATGGCCTAACCAGCGAAGAACATGCTGTGTTAGACACATCGAATTAGTCAAATGCGAGGCAGGCATTTTTTCGAGGAAGCAGTTGAGCTTCCACTCATGACTGACATATTATGCGGTCAAAACTTCACTGTGTAGGCTTCTGAGCACACATGCCTTATATATATGTGTGTCTAAATATTTATATGTTCACCATACACACATTATATTACTAGATACAGAAAGGTGGATGTTATTTGTGTTGCTATTTGTCAAATCTCTCTCTCTCTCTCTCTCTCTCTCTCTCTCTCTCTCTCTCTCTCTCTCTCTCTCTATATATATATATATATATATATATATATATATATATATATATTTTTTTTTTTTTTTTTTATTTT